CGCAGCAGCGCCTCAAACCCAAAATCCTGGAATCGAAAAACAATTATTTTCGTCGAAGTTTTCGACTGTTATCACTCTTCCAGCACATGATTCTTTTGTATTTTTTTGCGTACTTTTCGTTTCTGGCCTTTTTAAAGGCCTCCGATAAATTTTAAGGGGCCTTATGGCCCATTGTTGCCATTTTTGGCCCATTTTTAGGGATTTTTTCCATGTAACACATTCAAAACTCAATTAAATCCAAAAACAGTGTACATTTTTGAAAAGTACGTAAATAAATGAATAAAAAATGTTCAGTAAAATTTTTTCCTATGTTGCCAAATTTCCGAGAAAATTGGTCCCAAAGTGTCAAAAACGGCAAAAAATCGATAAATCGCCGCGTCTAAGGTTCAAGAAAGTGGAGTACATTTTTCATACTGTACCAGATAACAGCTCTTATCCATCCATACAACATATTAAAATATCATAGTTGTACCTGGATTCCCACGATGTGAAAATTGACCGAGATGTCGATTTTAGCGGCCTTTTTATACTTGAAGGTAGCTCTTTTGAATGTTTTTCGACCTTAGTCACCCTCTATGGGTGTGTACTATATGTATTTTTCTACGTACTTTTCATATCTGGCCATAAAAATGGCTTCCTGTGAATTTTAAAAGGCCTAACGGTCCATTGTTGCCAATTTTCACCAATTTTTAGGGGTTTTTTCAAGTTTACGTGTGTGAAACTTAATTTAATCTAGAAACCGTGTACAATTTCGGAAAGAACGTAAAAAAATACATAAAAATGTGATTTGTACCTTTTCCCTACGTTGCCAAATTTTCGAGAAAAATCGTCCTGAAGCGCCAAAAATGTCAAAAATTGGATTAATCATCACGTCGAAGGTTCCAAGAAGTGAATTTCAAGTTTTCTTTCACTACAAATAACGTATCGAAAATGGAAAATTGCAATGCATCTCAAGGAACATGTAATGGCGCAGATGAACGTGACAAAACGGGCCCTCAAGGTGCTTTTACTTTAACCTTCACTCCAGTTCACCTCTCTATTCCTGTAACCTCGAGATAATCCTTGGTTCTCAAGATGCTTGCTACAGGCCAAATATACCGAACAACAGAAAATGCGTGGAGAAAGTGTCCGACGATCCACATGAATGTCATAATTCACTTCCTAGAACCTCCGACGTGATGATTAATCCAATTTTTGACATTTTTGGCGCTTCAGGACGATTTTTCTCGAAAATTTGGCAACGTAGGGAAAAGGTACAAATCACATTTTTATGTATTTTTTTACGTTCTTTCCGAAATTGTACACGGTTTCTAGATTAAATTAAGTTTCACACACGTAAACTTGAAAAAACCCCTAAAAATTGGTGAAAATTGGCAACAATGGACCGTTAGGCCTTTTAAAATTCACAGGAAGCCATTTTTATGGCCAGATATGAAAAGTACGTAGAAAAATACATATAGTACACACCCATAGAGGGTGACTAAGGTCGAAAAACATTCAAAAGAGCTACCTTCAAGTATAAAAAGGCCGCTAAAATCGACATCTCGGTCAATTTTCACATCGTAGGAATCCAGGTACAACTATGATATTTTAATATGTTGTATGGGTGGATAAGAGCTGTTATCTGGTACAGTATGAAAAATGTACTCCACTTTCTTGAACCTTAGACGCGGCGATTTATCGATTTTTTGCCGTTTTTGACACTTTGGGACCAATTTTCTCGGAAATTTGGCAACATAGGAAAAAATTTTACTGAACATTTTTTATTCATTTATTTACGTACTTTTCAAAAATGTACACTGTTTTTGGATTTAATTGAGTTTTGAATGTGTTACATGGAAAAAATCCCTAAAAATGGGCCAAAATGGCAACAATGGGCCATAAGGCCCCTTAAAATTTATCGGAGGCCTTTAAAAAGGCCAGAAACGAAAAGTACGCAAAAAAATACAAAAGAATCATGTGCTGGAAGAGTGATAACAGTCGAAAAATTCGACGAAAATAGTTGTTTTTCGATTCCAGGATTTTGGGTTTGAGGCGCTGCTGCGCCCTTCCATGGGCTCCGTTCGGTCTAATATTTGGCACAGAGTCTACCTAAGACTAGTACTTAGAAAATATGAAACATTTAGCAAAATCCAGGTGGGGCCGGAAAAGGCCCAAAACGTTACTCCTCCTTTGTCGAAATTTCAGATATCCAATGATAGATTCGTTCTTCTCGTGCCGAAACACCCCCGCATACCAAGTTCCATACAAATCCAACGATAAGCAGTCTAAATATCCACTTCCTGCTCTAGGCCGCCATTTTGACCGCCGCCATTTTGAAAAAGACTGACTTTTCTGGAAAACCAATGCCAGAATCGTTTTTCTCGTCTCGAAAAACCCTAGGTTACCGAGTTTAACACCAATCCGTCAATACACAACGGAAATGTCAAACTTCCGCCATTTTGAACTTTGACCGGCCGCCATTTTGTCAAAACTCAACATTTTGACCTGCGGTTTGCTTCAAAAATTTTCTTTTTTTACTGACTTTCGAATGAGGTATCACAAAGGGGGGGGGGG